TATAGATAGATTCATGGAGAATAGGTCTATCAGTAGCTACTGGCCACGGTGACTGAGGGGAACCTCCACGTTCAGAGGCACTAATCATCTGAATCCCAGAGCCAGGAGGCAACATCAGGGGAAGACCTTGGACTCTAAGCCCTGTTGTCAGTCCTCCAGAGGAACTGGTTGGCCCCTGTGTGAGACAGGATGCTGGACTAGATGGATCACTGGTCTGATCCAGCAGGGCTCTTCTGATGTTCTTGGGAAGGCCTTGGCCTCTCTGCCCTGTTGGCTGCCCTCCAGAGGAACTGGTTGGCCACTATGTGAGAGACAGGATGCTGGACTAGATGGACCACTGGTCTGATCCAGCAGGGCTCTTCTGATGTTCTTACAAAGGCCTCGGCCTCCGTGCCCTGTCGTTGGCCTTCCAGAGGAACTGGTTGGCCGCTGACAGAATGCTGGACTAGATGGATGAATGATCAGATCCAGAAGGGCTCTTCTTACGTTCTTATGTCCATCACAGCTCCGAAACTCAGTTTCCATGCTGCCAATGTGCACTTCCCCAGACCCTCAACCGCAAGCCAGTAATCTCCAATATCCTTTCCGTGATGTTCTTATGTCCATCACAGCTCCGAAACTCAGTTTCCATGCTGCCAATGTGCACTTCCCCAGACCCTCAACCGCAAGCCAGTAATCTCCAGTATCCTTTCCGTGAAGTGCTGCCCTGGCATAATTCAAAGGAACCACATTCCAGCATCTCCTAAGCCCACGTATAAACCCGGCGGCTCCATTTCTCATCTCGTCAGCCCTTCTCCGCAAAAACCCCCGCCTGCTAGAACCCTTCTGCTGACAAATCCCCCATCTCTTTGTTCTAGAAATAAGAACAGCACATCGAAGGGATTGTCTCTCCGCTGTCTCGGTTACTGCACAGAAAATGCCTTCTGAGCGCCAAACGGTGCACAGAGATGACTGCTCAGCACATAAGAGATTTCATTCTGCTGGAGACTTAATTAAAGGTTTGGTCCGCAGCAATGCTCCCTCTAAGCTGTGGAGCCTTGTGAGCAAAAATGCTACGTTCTGAGTTGTGAGCAAGCAATTTGGCTACTGCATAAATCAGTTCGCTCTGGGGCCATGCTTCCTGAGCTAAGACAAAAATGTGCGAGCCGGAGGCTAAAAAACTGTGCGCTAGCTCACACGAACTCAGCTTAGAGGGAACACTGCTCCGCGGCATATTCCAGAAAAGACATGAGTTCTTTTCTACTCTGGTTATCATACAGCAGCCTTGATTAAGGGAGAGGGGCGAGGGGTGTAACATGCAGAGTTTTGCATTTTAGAGGCGATGTTTATTCCACGGTTCAGGCTGGATTTGCTTTGCAAAAGCCCCTGCTAGCGGCGGTATATATCCGGGAGACAAGGGAAAAGTTTTGCGTTTCAATAGAGAGCTTCTTCGTCCACCTGCAGAATCCCGCATCTTGTAAACCTCTCTCCCCCGTCACCGGCTGAAATGCATCCGACCGCATTTTGGTCATAATCCCATCAATATATTCTTGCCGGCGCAGCAAGTTTCCAGCTATACAGTACAAAACTCAATCCTCTTAGCCCTGCTATCTGACGCTTGCTGAAGGAGCTTCTGGTACTAACGATATGCTGTTGACCCGATTTATGAAAACAGCTTTGGAGAAGGGGATGTTCGGACTGGAGAAGTGCCCCAGGGGAGGCCTTTCCCTGCCTGACTCTCTGCTCCAATCGGCCTCTATCTCCATGCAGAGTTCCGAAAGGAATTTGGACACTAGCAAATGGGAACCTTGGGGGGGGGGTTTTTACAGGGGAGCTGCAGGCCTGTAGCCAGGATTTTGCGGCTTGTGGGGCAAATATTTTTTTCTGGTGGGGCTGAAGTCCTCAGTGCAGAAAGGAAAAGCATTTAGCCAGTAGAAAGCTGTTACCAGGATAGATCTCTGAATTGCAAGCGGCAGGTGACAGTTCTCAGCTGCTGCAAGTTAATCACTTCTGCCAGCCTAAGCAACCATTCTGATCACAAGCCGGGGGGGGGGGGGGGGGGGGGGGTGTT